CCTGGACGCTGCTGCCACAGTGCATGCTGGGACAGCTGTCAGTCTGTAGAACAGACAAGTCTGCTCTGATGCATTCTGGGTAAAGGAGGGGCGAGAACAACATCCGGGGACTTTGTCTGTTCTCGGTCTGCTGTTCTTGTGAATTGGAACCGTACTAGGGCTGAGGATGATGACGTTTCACGAGGACGCACAAGTACACATAGTGAGAACCGCCCTGGGACGTTGACTTTAGTCTGTTTGAGAGAACATCATAAGATTGGTGTTTAATCTTGGTGGAGCATGTTTAGATTCTGTTGTTTTCTCAGTGTGATAATCCCTGATTAGGATTGAATAATCTGAATCCTGTTCATATTCCGATGTTTCCTGATGAAGATGATAAATCCTGCGGATGGATCTAAGGGTTAGAGTCTGGGTTAAGAAGGTTCTGAACTTTCCCAGCCTTGACTGTAGCTGCAGGTCCGATTGGATTTGATCTTTAGGATCAGAACCAACAAATTAAATGTTGTTTGTGGGTTCAGTAGAACCTCTGACCTGATCCCTGTTTCCAATCATTTCTTCTCTGTCCTCCCAGATATCCAGGAATTTTACGAAGTGACCTTATTGGACAGCCAGAGGTGGGCGGAGTCTTCCAAAGGGCCGGATCCCGGCGTGCCCATCAACCTGTGGGACTTCTCCAGTCTCCAGAGCCCGACCGGAACCTCGGAGACCCTGCCCAGCCTTAGCACCAGCATCGAGGTAAGGATGTGCCGGGAACCGGTCTGGACCGGTTCCACCGCCGCCGCTCCGCTTCCCTCCATTTGTCCCGTGAACAAACGGAGGCGTCCTGCGGGCGGTAAAAATAGCAGCAATAAAAATAGATGAGAGGAGTTTAAAAATATCACGCCTTTGATTCTGCCGGGACAGAACCGCTCCGTTCTGCTGCTGTCAGAGCAGAACCGGCTCCAACCAGTTAGGACGGATCTGTTAACCCGAGCATCAGTGAATCAGCTGGATGGTTGTGATGGAATAAAGATGTTTAACATGAAGAGGCGGTTCTGAAGCTCAGATCAGTCTGTCATCAACAGACCGGTTCTGGTTCTTCTGCCTGGGTGAGCAGATGAACCGGACCATTAGAACCAGTTAGATAGGGAGGAAAACGGCCCGTCACCACCTCTGAGCAGGCGGATGAGTGAGCTGCTTTCAGTCCTCCATAATCCCCTGTTTGAGGAATTTATGGGATTATGGGGAATCTGGGAGCTGTTGGTGTGGGATTGGGTTTTAAATCAGAAGTTTGAGGAACGCTGCAGAACCAGAGAACGCTCAGAACCGTGTGGGGTTCTGCTGCGGAGCCGCTGGGGGGATAATGGAGGGAACGTTAATGTGTGGAGCTGCTGGGAGATGAAAACAGTCATCTGCTTTGCTCTTTTCCCAGCCAGAGGATTTAAAGGTTTAACTGGGAGGATTTTAACTCTTTGTTTGCAGCCGATCCACTCGGGTTGCTTTATTTGACAGAGATTAAGGTTCTGATCGGGGTAAAGATCGCTGACCTCTGGGTTTACTACAAAATACGAATTTATCTTAAAATAAGGACATTTTAGAATTGGATAAAACAAGTGCATTTTATCAGATTATCTTTTTTAGGGATAAGAAACAGTCCTTGCCTCCGTAGATCATCTTATTTACCTGTTAAAACAAACAGAATTTAAAAAGTTTTTACTTCAGATCAGGTTCGCTGTAAAATCCAGCTGCATCACAGCTTTATATAAACTATACTTTACTGGAGTCATTATTTTTTTAAACAGCATTTAACTTTCTTATGTTTTAAAAACAGACTCCTTTTGTGTCCTTTGGCCTGTTGGTATTTAAAATAAAATAAAAACCATCAAAATAAGTTTAAATAATTTCTCCAGATGATGCAAAGCTAAATGTGACGCCGTTACCATTAGTAATAAAACTAAAAAAATGAAGTCTAAGAAAGTTTTCATCCAGAACTGTAGAAAAATGTTCCTTTAATAAGGTAGAGCAGCAAAGCTTTTTTTCCTGCATTACTTTTACTTTTGTACTTTAAGTATTTTTAAAAATGGTACTTTTACACTTTTACTGGAGTAAGAAGCTGAAGTTTTTCCTCTGACTTCTATAAAAGTGTTTTTAAACTGTAGGATTTCTACTATATTCCTCTTGAGTAATAAATGGAAATCCTTTGGACAGCTCTGCAGCTGGACAGATGTTCCCTCCAGCAGCTGGACTTTACTGATCAACAGTTCTCCTGGATTAGATTTTTTCTCCTGAACAGGTTGATGATATTCCCACTTTTTCTGTTTGGTCAGACTCATTATTTAAACCAGATATTCCTTATTTTTAACATCTCCTTTATGTGGAGATTCTTTCTCCATCTAGACACGACCTTAATCAGCTGTTCTCCAGATGTTCTCTGCTAAAGTTTCTTTTTTTTTTTCACAAACCATCAATCTGGTTATCATTAATGGACCTTTTTAATGAACCATGCTGAGCACCTAGTTATTTATAACCTCTGCATGTTAATGAGGACTTTAATAAAACCTTAAACCTTAACTTGACAGTCCATAAATAAATACATAAAATAATATGAACTGATCTCCAGTCAGCTGCATCACACATACCGGAAAAGTTCATTGATGATACTCAATGAGGAATAAACTGAATTTCTACTGAGCTTTTTTAGTCATACTGAATGTTCACATAGATTTAAGCTCAATGTTGACCTACCTAATACACACACATATACAGCAGTAAGCAGAGCGTAACGAGGGATTAAGTGCGTTGTGACTGAGCAGAAGTCGTCCAAAGATTCAATGCTAGAGGAAACAGGGTTCTGCTTTTTGAATCGGGGGTTAAAATGCCTTCTCAAACTGTGCAGCTATAGAACATATAGATTCTCACACAGGTTCTCTTTCCAGTGGTTTTCATCTGTTAAATATGTAACTGTGTCATCTGCATACATAGAAACACAAGCTTATACTTATAGACGTCAGAAAAACAGTGGGCCAAACACTTAGCCTTGGGGTACACCTGTTTCCCCATCATTGTTTAGGGTATATTACCTATGGGTGTTTAAATCAAAGTGTGTTTTTTTTTTTTTTTTATTCTTGAATTAATATAAAATGAGTTCTTGGACAAGAATAAAACCAGATGATGTCCGGTGTAGGTACCAGATCTGATTGTCTCTGCCTGATCCGTCCTGCGCATGCGCCATCAGCTCATTTGTGCATCAAGATATCCATCTAGGTCACCCTCGATTTTATTTTGTTAAAGACCTAAATGACATTCTTCCCTCCCCTAAAAATAGTAAACGTACTAAAATATAATGTTTTAAAGGTTAATAATGTATTTCTTGAGAAAATAACATATCCAGTCTTTTTTTGAGCTGTATGTGTTTCTCTTATGTTAACCTTATGGTATATAGTGCATAAACTTAAGGAAGAAACGAGTAAATTTTGCTGGACTGCTCTGAGCATCTACAATGATGATGTCAGAGAAGCAGTTTAAGGAAGAAAATGTAAAAAGCATCAAACTTGTCTCACCAAAGTCATAAAGTCAGAGCTGTGGCTAGCTTAGCACAGCTAGCCACAGCGCTACCCAGCTCTCCCCCTTGATATCATGGTCTAACCGTTACTTCTTTCACCATAAACAGATTTTTACAGCATTTTTCTCAATAAGGTAAAACTTCATCGGTCATCAGACACGCTAACGCTACAGATGCTACCTACTCGGCTAATGGACGCTGTGTGATGTTATTATGGTTGTCTGGGCAACCACAATGATTTAGATCATGTGGCAACGTTCAGCCAATCATGCAGCGTAACATTGGCGTGTTCATGACCCGAGCAGATCTGGTACCCACACTGCTGGCGATGCATTCCTCTGAACAATAAAGGAGTTTCATCAAAGTCAAACGGCTGAAGTGTTTATCTGCTGGCTCCTGACTGGAGGTTCAGGTCCTCTTTCAGCTTGTTCTGTCATTGAATGCTGTCTTTCTCTTTCCTCTTTTGTCCGTCTGTAAACGAACTCTGTCCCTCGTAGGAGTCCCCCCTCCTTAACGAAATCCTGCACACGTTGGCGCAGGCCAAACTCTCCCCCTGCCATGACGGACAAGTAAGTACCGGAGCTCTGCTGTTGGTGGGGGGGTGTCGGTGTTGTCCACCTTCGCCGCATGTCCCATCCAGTCCTCGTGTGCTTTGGACCATCAGACGGGCGGGGCGGGGCGGGGTGTGGGTCCAGGGTCAGACGGCCTCAGTGCGTCGCTGTAGTTTGATCACAGCAGAATCTGAACGGGAGTGAAACCAGAACCGAGTCGAACTGGACCGCCTCTCTGGTTTCACGGAATGTTCTGGATGTTGTGGCGTTAAACCATCAGTGACATGTTGAGGCGGTTTGTGAGGCGTTCAGGCTCATGGTTCATCACGCTTCATTCGTTTTGGTTCATGTTGTTGGGTCTGAACAGTACACCTCCGGTGGGTCCAGAGGGAGGCGCTCATGGTTCTGAGTCCGTCAGTGGGAGGGGAAATGAGATGACTGCCCTAAAATGATAGTAACCATAGCAACCCAGGAGGAAAAGCCAAACTTCCAACATGGTGGAGATTTCTTTCCTTAGAACTTTTTCTATAACTTAATAGAAATGAAGTGAAATATACTTGTTTTTGCGAACTTACTTCAAAACAAAGTATTGAAAACCTTTTTTATCTAATAAACACATAAAAATGTTTATGATAGACTTTCTTCTCAGTTCTTCAGTCTAAAATTAGTGAAGGTTTTAGGTTTTATGTAAAGTCTCATTCCTTTCACTCCCTGGATGCCTCTGCGTATGGAGTCAGTAGCTCTTCATGAGGACAAAGGTCAAGAAGACGATGCTCTTTGGGACGAAGTTTAAGAGGATTAAGGTCAAGAAGACATGAGGACAAAGTTCACTAAGACGATGGTCATGAGGATAATAAGCCCCAGTCAGCTGCCTGGGTTGGTTGTGGAATCCCACAGAGAAGAGCTCCACTGCTGCTCCCAGAACCATCTCTATGGTGTCACCTCTCTAACGGATCAGAACCAGGAAAACAATCCTAAAAATGGTGTAGGCAGTATCATGGTGTGGGCCTCAACCACTGCCACATCTGGTGCTCTGGAAGTTCTAGTAAAATTCTCCAAACTCATTGGACAGAACTTCTTTTTCAATATATATATATATATATATGTTAATTTTTTAGAAGGCAACATGCGTAAATCATACCCAAGAATATGAAGCATAGCCAGTTAGTCACAGTCAGAGAAACAGGACCACACTGGAAAACAGGCCGATCTCCAACATCTATAAACAAAGGTGTTGATGGCAGCAGCACAACTGATGTTTCTCTCCAGGATGGAGTTACAGCCAAACAGGAACAGACCAGATGAAGCTACTATGAGAAAAAGCAGAGAGAGCAGAACGTTAGAGATTGAACTAACAGATTCTGCAGAGTGGGAGAATAGAGAGATAGCCACAGTCGTTTGTATAGCGGTAATGTAGTTCCAAAGTCAGGGAGAGTATCCAAACATGCAATCTGGGAGTCTATGTGACAGAACTTCCTGAAACAAAGTGAGGTGCTCACAGCTGATTGGCTGAGATGAAGATCAGGCCGTTTGTTTAAGAGATGATCTTCAAAACCTGCTAAAACAAGGAAGTCCTCAACATGAGGCCAAGGTCTCCTGTCCCGCTTTATTTAGAAAGATATTTTCCTCAAGAACCAAAGTTCTGCTCAGAACATATTAGATAATTATAGAAAATGCCTTTTTATGGCAGTAGAACCCCTAAAAACCACGCAGCATTATGCAGTAGATGGTATATAGAGAAATCTGCAGAGGGAACTACCAACCAATCAGGATGAACTCCTGCAGGTTTCATCAAACTGGATATTACTGTCCGCTTGCCGACCGATTTATAAACCCATCATTTGTTCACAAGCGACAAGCGATTGATTCTCTAGCGCCAAGATGAAAACAAACCCTGAGCTGGCCTGACCCTGGAGCCCCCCTCCCCATCTAGTTTGTTTCCCAGCGCCGCAGATGTTGGCCGACTGTGGGACCGACTGGAGTTGTACTGGTGTTCAGGACCTGCATCCATGGTGGTGGTTGGGTTGGTGTGGATTTTAGTTGTGTTGCTCTGCAGAAACATCAGCCATCCTCTCATCTGTTCAATGTTTGAAGCTTTACTGGTTCTGATGGGCGGGTGTTAAAGGTCAAGCTCTGCCTTACAATAAAGGAAACTGGGATTCTTTGATGGGAAAAACGCGCATGGGTTTGGGACCATCAGAACCAGACTGTCTACTGTCTAGAGGTCCGGCTACAGTCTGAACCCTCAGAGGAGATGCTTTTTAAATTGTTGAATTGTGTTTTTTTTTTTTCAAAATACTGAACCAGGACCGGAAATGTTTCCTCTGAGCTTCTGGTTTCATAAAGGTTCTGACAGAATCCGGTCGGGTTATTCTGTCATTAGCGCTTCATTTAACCCTCAGAGACATCACTGCTGTTGGTTCCAGCGACCAACAAAGCGCAGCTCCAGATTCCACTGTGCTGAGAACAGGAGCTGCTCAGGTCTCTCTTTAGGTCCAGAACTGCTTTAAAAGACCCGGGCCGTGGTTCTGGACAGACCAGTCTGGGCTTCTAACCGTCACCTGATCTAACCTTTAGAAAACTTCAAATACCAGAACCTCAAACATTTGGGTTTCCTTCTCTCAACAGTTAGCTGTAATTTTGGCCCATGCTTCATATCAGAACCGGCAGAACTGGGTCAGGTTTTCTCTCTGTCTCCCTGAGACCAATAATTTGCTCCTTGGCTCAGATCAAACTCCATGATGGCCTCTTTTGAGGTTTGCTGAGGGACATTGTCCATTTGGAGACAAACCAGTCCATTTAACCTTCTGCTCTGTCTCTTATAAGGAGGCATCTGCTGGTGAAGATTCTCAGTCATCAAGGTCATAGTCATTCCAAAAAAAGTTAAAATCATTTGTCTGGACTATGTTTCCAAGTTTGAAGACCTTTCTCTTCCATCCAGGAAACTTTTTCTATTCACAATGTCAGAAATGGCCTTGAGTTCTAGACTTATACAGTAGCCCAAAATGTCCAAAATGGGAACATTCTGGTCCTCCAAAGAGTGTCCTCTGTCCATAAGGTGTAGATGGACCCGGGCCGTGGTTGAGGAGTTGATGCTGCAGTGTTTACACCTTCTGTTCTTTCCTCCTGTTTCAAATCAATAACTGGTGACTTGTTGGACGTAAAACCTCAGAACGCCACAGCAGAATCGAACGCCATTATATCTTTATCCTCTGTTGTTGGTGTGATACAGTGGACTAAAAGATGAAGACAAAAGTCTTTGACGTTCTGCTGAGTTCTGAGACCTGGGTTTAAAATGTTCCTGATGTTCTGAGGAGCTCGTATCAAAGGTTTAAATCACACTAAAGGTTCATTTCTTCCAATATTTCAATAAAGCTGCAGCAGAGCAGCGGACAGGTACACCTGGGACACCGCTGACATCACTTCCTGTGTGCTGCTGGTAACGAAGCCATGTAACACACCATATGATGATGATGATGATGATGACACACGCACCCTGGGCGACCACATGACGGATTCATGGAAGTGTGAAAGATTGGGACTTGTGTCTCCTGCCCACACAGCTTGTTTTTCCCTCCCTGTTATGTTCAGAGCTTCCTCTTCCCATAAACGATCTAGATTGTAATGGAAAGAGTTCCTGGGTCCGGAGGGATCCAGTTCTTGGTCTTCCTGGACTCTTCGCCTAGTTGGTTCAAGTTTTTTGTCTAAAATAAAATCTTTTCTATGAAAAACATGAAACTTTGAAATGATCTATCACTTAAGATCTCTAGCTTTGCTGCCTGTTTATAAACACATGTTTTGTTTTTTCTTTATTTTAGTTCTAAGAACAGCCTTTCCCCCCCTGTTTAAGTTATCTTTCATTAATAAAAAAACCGTTTGTAAATTCGGAGAAATCCGAGCTTTGCGGCGGTACTTGAACGCATCCTCTGTGTTGAGGAGCGGGAGTGTGAGAGGTTCAGGTCCGGACCGGGCTGAGGGCGGACCGGGGGGAGGGAGGAGCTGCCTCACCGGTGAGAAACCACTCTGACTCGGGTAGAAGTGGCAGCGGCAGCCGGTCGGTCGGTCTGCGTGGACTTAGCGGCGTCTGTGGAGGAAACACGCGGGATGAGATGCTGACGCTGCCGGGGTGTTGCCTCCCCGCTGCCTCGGAACGATGGACTGCATCTGTATCGTCTCAACCAAGGTAAAAAAAAAAACGGGGAAATGATCGCAGCACAGCCGCTGCAGGCGGAGGGTCTGACCCGGCATGGGTCGGTGAACAGTTCGGCATCTTTCAGTCTGTCAAGCCGCTTTTCTTTGGTACAAAATGTACTTTTTTTATCGCTCCCCTCCGCATCTTAGCGGCTCTGCCTCCACTGAGGCTCATTAACGACGCGAGGCAACCAATAAAAATACCCTGATTACTGATTAAAGTTGGTTATTTTTTAAAAACTAATTACAGCCGAATTAAAGTAAAACACTTTAAATCTAAAGTGGGGTGTTTATGTACATTTTAAAATGATTTTTTATATCCGCAATGGGGGACGATTTTTATTTATGATTTTTTTGTAAATGGAGTTTGGCTTTAAACTTTTGATCATATAAAAAATCATTATTTGATTTACTTAAATTGCTAAAACTATGTTAATATCCATAAAATTAGAATTTCTACATCCTTGCAGTTTATTTGTTTTTGGATTTTTTTGTAATAAATGTTTACAAATGTGACTTTTTTTGCTTACATTTTATTTGGTGATTGGTTCTGTTTTCACTCCTTGGAAATATTTGATTTAGGATATTTCTGTTTAGTTTTTCCCTCATGAAATCAAGCTGTGACTCCTAGATAATCAGCTTAATTGTAAAATTAGTTTCTTTTGTTGGTAAAGTATTGAAATGCCTCCCAGGTTGGGATATTTCAGATGGTTTTATTGATATTTGATCAGAAATCATTGAACAGAACCAGATTTCTTCAGATGAAGGTAAATCTCTGCAGCTCTCTCTGCTTTTGGCGGATGTTCCTCTTTAACAGTGTAAACGTT